AAAGCCATATTTTTCATCTATACCGACCGATCAAAACCGAAATTGAATAAATGCGTGTCATTTGTTCGTTTCAAAAATTTAAAAAATGCACGTGTGTGTGTGCCGAGTACCATCACTGCCATCGTGAAAACATTTGAACAAAAATTGAAATTCAATATCCAGGAAAAACCAGAATAACTTTGGTGGCACCAAAAATAACTGAAAAAATCATGTGAAACAAAGAAAAAAAATAAAGTTTCATTTAACAACCAAAAAAAATCTCCCAGTTTTTGACCTTATGATATTGTTGTTTGTGTAAGGCAGGAAATTTAGAAACAACAACTTCGATCTCCCCTTGGATGATGGATGAAAACAACAACAAAAATGGACGAATTTTAGGATAAAGTTTTTTCCTATTTCACTCTTCTTTCCTCAAACACCATACACCCGCGCATTTGTTCCAAGATTTACACACACCATCAGCACACACACACAGGAACAAATAACAGAAACGGATACTTTAAAAAATTACAAATTTCAATGTTTTCATTTTCACCATTGAAATGTGAAAGACGTGCACAAATATTCTTTTTGTTTTCACAACAAACAAAAAAAATTCCACACATCGCCACTTATGATGATAATGTCAATTTTAAACTTTTATTTTCTCCGTTTGTTCTCTCATCATAATCAACATTTGATTTCTTTTCAAAAAATCTTTTCCCCATTTGAAAATACCGTATATTTTTGTTATTTTTTTCAAATATTTGGCAAAATATAGACAAACAAAAGCCAAAAACTTTTCTCTCTCTCTCTCTCTCTCTCTCTCTCTCTCACTATGGCTTTCTCATTCATTGAAATAGTTGATGGATATATCTCTCTATTGGTTCCAAAAAAAACAAGCAAAGAAAATATTTAGAATTTTTTTTGTTTCGTTATCCACCTACACTTAGCCATTGACATTTTCGATTTATAGATTAAAAGTAAGAATAAAATTGAGATTTCAAAAGAATAATATATCAAGATTAATTTTCTTAATTATTTTTTTTCATAATGAATTTAAATTCAGAATAAATGGCAAATAGAAACAATATAACAAACCCACTAGCAATTATAATAATAATAATAATCAGGAAAAACTAAAAAATAAAATCGGCTTAAGTCAATTGCAGCAAGACAATCACTTTTGAATATATAATTCTTATATTATTTTCTTTAAATTCCTCAAACATCTTACACACACACACACACACAATTAAGATCAATCTTATATAATTAAAATATATCGACAATAGAATGTATCATCTGAAGTGGAGATAGAAATCCACCAAAAAAACCACACACCTATAGAAATGGTGAAATGAACTTGTCATTTAAATCAAAGTAGTAAAGAAACAAAAAAACTTGTGTTTCATAAAATCCTGTGTGTAATGAACACAATATCCACCTCACCACCACAATGAAACACCAGAATATTTTGTTAATAACATCAACGACGATGACAAAAAAAAATTAATTGAGAAAACCCAGGGTGAATATGAAAAAAAATTCTAATTAATCTCATCATCATCATCATTATAATTATGAAATTGTGAAAAGATGAATATAATACCCGTTCGAATGGATGGAATATTCATTTTTTCTTTGTTCTTCGTTGATCCAGAAAAAAAACCCAAACAACTAGGTAAAAATTGAAGTTATTTTTAATGAAACTTTTTTTTCAAATTATTGAAATATACGTGGATTTGTGATTATTATCATCATAAAAAAAATAATTTCCTGAATTCTTACTTATTATATGAATTTTAAATTCAAAATTTATTAAAAATCTATAAACGAATCTATTATTATTATTATTATTATTATCATCAATGAAACGGAAATTTTATTTTTCAATAATAAAAAAAAATGATAAACTCACATTTATTTCATTTTTTTTTTCAAAAAAAAAATTTACATTGTATATTTATACAATGTTTATGATGATAATAATGATAATAATAATAACAATAATGATGATGGCTTTTTCATATTCTATTCCAATAAAATTTATACATGTAATGATGGTAATGTTTTTTTTTTTTGGGTGGTAGTTGTGTAAGAAACATGGTCTGGTATTGATGATGATAAAAATCATATCGTCCCGAATAGAATGTATTATATAATAACATGAATAGAAAATCATTTTCAATAAATGAATATTTTACCCACTCTTGTATATTTTATTGTAATCGTTCATTTTTTTTTGTTTTATCATGATGGAAAAATATATAACGAACAAAAAAGTTTTTTTTAGAAGACAGTGAAAAAATCTGAATACTTTTGTCAACAAGAAAATCCATAATTAGGATTCATCATCTTTTTTTTCATAAAAAATGTAATCAATTGATATAAATAATGATTAGATCAAGTCATCATTATAATTTCAATTTCATACTTGCTGATGATAGTAGCGCATCATCAAATCATCAGTTGAAGATGTAAGTTTTGAAATTCAAATAAACTAGAGAATTTCCAATTTGTTTCAGTTAGTGTTTCGCATCTCTCTTTTTTTTCAATATATTATTATTATAATAACATAATCATCACTTTTTCGACGTGTATCGAATGTTTGAAATGTTGAAAATTCCTTTATTCATTTGTCGATGTTAATGTTGTTAATGATGTTTTTAACACACTATCAAAATTCATTGAAAATTATGAATTAAACAAGATCATTTCTGTTAATTCAAGAATTTCATTCAATTGTGACATAAATAATATATTTCAAACATGATTTTTTTTGAATTTCTTGTGTTGTTTGACAGCATCATAGGGTTGATCATTAATAATAATTATTATTATTATCATCATTGACCGCTTGTTGTTTTGCTTCACACACACATGATGGTTATTTTAGATGATTTGTGTAGGTAGACAAAAAAAAGAATTCTAAACCGGGACAACATTATCATTGCTTATCATCATCAGCTAAAAGATTGACACATTGAACTTGGTCAAATATATGTGAACAAAATGTGGGCAAAAAAATTAATTCATACCGATGTGAAAATGTAAAAAAAGAAACTCAAAAAAATACATCCATCTTTTATTAATTTTATAGTTGGGTTATATACACATAGGGAAAAAATAAGGTCGACCAACTATTTTTGCTTAATTTTCCTGGTAGCTTTTTTTTCACAAGGAGAAAAAAACTGAAATTTGCAACCAGAAAAATCATACAAATTTTTTTGGAGTTACAAGCTACATATTTTTACAACATATCCCCCCATTCACCACCACACCAGATTTGTTTGATGTGTTTGATCAATGTGAATTGATTGGTGACAGATCAGAATTGTGAATTCTATTTCTTCTTATCCCTGTTTGTTGTTGGTGCTTTCAAATCACACTAAGCAAATAAAAATAAAAATGTAAATTTTTTCACTTCAAAAAATTAAAATAAAATATACAAATACAGAGAGAATGTAAACAAAATTGACTTGTTTCTTCTTTTACTGGTTGCCGTTTTGTGACTTTTGATTGATTTACTGACTATGATTGACTGACTGACTGATTGGAGTGAATTGATTAACTTTGGCAAGAATCGAAGAAAAAAAATTTCTCAATTCAATTGAATTTATCTCACCTCTCCCCAATCATCTCACACCCTTTTTCGAAAATTAACACTTGGATCTCTCCGAATGAAAACTATACTTTTTTCTTTACATTCTGTCATTTTGTTTTTCAATTTCAACCAAATAGAGAACAAAAAAAAAGGGTCAAACAAAAAACAAACAAAATAAGTTAACTCGATTTATCACTCGAAGTTAAGAGTATAAAGAATTTTAAAGAATTTTCAGATGAAAAAAGAAAAACATTTTCATTTCCATTTCAGCAACAAAAAAAAAATTCATTTCAAATCCATAGAGATATATCAATCCAATGAAAGTATATGATGTGTGCAAAGTAATAGAACAGAGAAAATGGAATAAAACTTGAATTTTTGCTCTAAAAAAACAGAATTTAACGAATAATTTTAAATTCAGATAATGAGATCGAGTGAATGTATGTGTGCGATATAAACATACACAAGAATCATATAAGAATAGAGAAATGAATGGGAGAAAAAGAAAAGACATCAACAATCTTATCAACAAAATCATCATCATCATCATCATTGAAATTTTATCTTAATCGATTCGACAAACACATATTTCTATAAAAAAAAGAAGAAAAAGACAGAGAGAACAAAAAATCACAACAAAAAAACGTTTTTCGATTTAAATAATAACCGGAGAATAGTAGTTTTTCTAGAATAGAATGAAATAAATTTCAAAGAACGTTACCAGATAAGTTTATTCTATTTTTCTTATCATAGAGATCAATTTGGAAAAAAATGGAACATACTATCATCATCATGGCAATCGCTTTTCTTCGAAACAACAACAAGACCAAGCTATTTAATATAACCTTAAACCAAACATGGTTATTAAACCATGTAGGATAGAAATTGATGGAACAACAAACAAAAAACAAAAATTGAAACACAAGAAAATGGGAGGATTCCGTCATCAACAACAACAACAACATAACCATATTACCGATTCTTTCTTTTTTCCTCTCATCAAAAGGTTGTTCTTTTAGAAAATAAATGTGAACAAGGTTCCAGAATATTTATGTTTAAATTGCCTCAATCATCATCAATATTCGACTTATCATTAAGGAAAAAAAATAAAGAGAATATATCGTTATTTTCATTATTGAAATTCTCATTTTAGTCATTTTACTGTTTACATTGCCAATATAATGAAAAAAAAGGATAAAGTTAAGGATAAAGATTCACTCAAAGAAAGCAATCAATATTTATGAATAAAACTAATGTTATTATACAAACACACAAAATAACTAAATGTAGATGGTGTAAATTAATTTTGGATTCATCTATAACTAACTAACTAACTAAACAAAGAATATTTATTCGATGTCATTTTATATATTGGAAATGTAAATAATAATAAAAAACGATGCTAATCACTTACCGTTGTGATGAATCCAAATTGTTCAAGGTAATAGCATTTGTTGTTGTTGTTGGAATCAATCGATTAATTTTTCTATTATCATCATCACGGTCATTGTCATCGTTTGCCATCATATTATAATCATCATTATTATTATTTTTGTTGTTGTTATTGATCATTATATCGGGTAAATTAAATTGTTCATGTCGTCGTTTTTGTTCAGTAAGATTCCATTGTTCTTCCATTACATAACGAAGCATCTGTTGAAGATCAATAAATCTATCTTTTATTTGTGATTGTTGTTGTTGAATTGATGATATTCTATTTTCTAATAAACTATTATTAGACGTTTGTTGTCTATCTTGTTGTTGTTGTTGTTGATGTTTTAAATGGGTAAATTGTTTCACCGATTCAAAAAGCTCATTTTTTTGATGATGATGATCATCAGTTGTTTTTGATATTAATCGATTATCTGATCGATCATTTTGTTGTTGATTATGACTAGCTGTCATATCAACAATTCGTGATTTATTATTACTACTTATCATTGATTTTGTTTGATGTTGTTGTTGTTGTCGATTATCATCATGTTTGATGATAGTTCCTGCTGCTGCTGTTACATCACTTTTACTCAATACATCATGACTTAGATCCCCACCGCCACCAACTCCATCAATATTATTGGGTGAATTATCAACATTATAACGATTGGCTAGATATAATGATAATAACAAAATTATAAACATTAAACATATAAATAATAATCGTTGTAGTTGTTGTTGTTGTTGTTGAACAAATTTGATATTTTTATCATTCATATCCTTAATAATAGATAATCGTGATCGTCGTACATTATGAATTTGATTAATTTTTTCTAATCTAGAATTTTTCAATATTCGAACATATGGTACCATCATTATCGATCCATTTGATAATGATGACGATGCAAACGTATGAATAATATGAATGTTTTTGTAATTCAAATGAAAAAAATTGACTGAAAAATTCTGCATTGACAAACAAGGTGACAGTATTTTTCTCGAAGTATGTGGGTGTGATATTTTTAGAATTTTGTTTTCCCGTTCATAACCTTCGAATATTATGTGTGACAAGATTTCTACTAACCTTTTGAATTGATTAATTTAGTAACAGTGATACCATCACCAGTGGCAATACCACCACCTCCTGTCATACGATTATTGTCACCATCGATGACATCTTCACCATCATCATAGAATGTATTTGTTGTTGGTTGTATGATAGTACCACCATCATTATTAACAGCGGCTGCAGCTAATTGACTTGTAGTCATGAATTTTCTACTTCCACCATCATTTGAATTTATCGGAACATCTTCACTATCATTTAGATTCTCAATATTCTGTTCGACAACTGCCAATTGTTGTCGCCATTTATTTTTCCAATACTTTTTACTAACAATAATTTTTTCATTAAGCGGATATAAACTATTACTAGACGATTGTTGTTTTTGTGGTGATTCGGTTTTTTGTCGTTGTTGTTTTTGATGAAGAAATCGTTTTCGATTTTTACTTTTTCCTATCGTCATTTTATCATCTGTTTGCAATGATGATGATGATAAATATGGAGATTTTGAAGTTGCTGTAATCGTCTTTATCGATGATTCGACATTGATTAATCTTGCAGACGACGACGATAATGATGATGGACCATTTACAGATGCTATTTCGTTATTATTTACAAAAGCTACATTAAAATTATTATGTCCTAATTGTTGTGATGATCTATGTGTATTGAAAATTAATAATTTCAACAAAAAAATGATAATCATTACATCAATCGATATAGAATTAATTATTTTCAAAAATGATTAATACCTTGATAGATCGGGATCACCACCACCAACATCATAATTCGATACAGCTGCTGCTGGACTAATAAGTTGATCATCATTATTATTGTTGGTCAGATCATTATTGATCTGTGAATTTGTTGTCAATACCAAAAATGTACAAACAAGACAACATGTTACACCGATCAATAATACTAGAATACGTTCTTTCAAACGCATTCGACGTAGAAAACAACAAAAATACATTGGTGCATTTACAATATTGATTGTTTGGGCGTTATTAGCCACCGTCATCAATTGATATTAAACACAGAGATACAAGTAAAGAAAAGAAAACGAAATAAAAATTAACTTTTTTTTGTTACTTTTTGTCACAGATGACCACGATGATAATATCTTGAAAGAAATCAATAAAAAAGAATAACGGCTCTGATTTTAGATGATAATTTAATGTATTTTTTATCGAGATATTAATCAATCAATCGATTAAAGCAAAACCTGTAAGAAATTCAAAAGAAAAACAAAAAGAAATAAACAATTAAAATGAAAAATTTCTTTAAATATATTTTAATCTTGGAAAATAATTGAATTAAATTTCATTTCAAAAAAAAAATCAATGACGAACATTATTAACAATTGTGTTAGCCGCAGCAATTTCAACAAAGAAAAAAAAACCATAAAATTAATTTAAATATTCGAATTTTTGATGCAAACAAACAATAATCATGGTCATTTTGATTCATTTGAAATTCAATCTAATCGAAGAATGCAAATTGACAAATGTAAAGTCACTATTTTGGGATCACATTTTCAGCCATGGCATTCGGGCTACCTGGTTTATTTCTTGTTACTTCAAACAAAACAAAAAAACCTTAAATAAAAACCAAAGTAAAGGAGAAAAAAAATCGACACTTCTATGTAAATACACAATATAAAAAATTTTAGCAAAAATTCGTTAATCAACTGATGAGAAAGATGTGAAAAATTATCTTTACATCTTTAGTATTTTCTCTTTTTTGGAATGCAATCAGACACATTTTCTCCCCCCACTGAAATCCAATGTTAATTTCAATCATTTTTTTATTATTTTTATTTTTGTTTGTTTGAATTAATAAAAAAAACTGTAATATAAGGAACAGGGAAAAAATATTTTGTTGTTGAAAATTTACATTCAACAACATTTGCAAAGGATTTAAAATGAAATGATAATTTTTGAATGTGATTAGCAATGCTCTCGATCATTCATTCACTCACGCACTTACACTACATATATCTATTTCATTCTGAATTCGTGCAATCATCACCTGGCCAAAAATAATGATCAATTGTCATGTATCATCATTCAATCAGAAAAATTTCGGATTGAATCAATAATTAACACACACACACACACATACAGAGATATTGGCTTTTTTATCCCATCTAATCAACTAACCAGCCAAACATCATCATCTATCATTCAATTTTATAATTAGAATTTTTGTTTTTCCGAGTAAAGAATCATCATCTTATTGACCGATTTTCTAAAGAAAATCAAAGCTAAAAAAACTGAAAATTCATTTCAATTTCGATATTTTTTTCAATTATTAATACTTTAATCATGAAGATTGAAATATTGATGAACCACACAAAAAATCTATGATGATTTAATTCCGGTTCGAATCGAATTGGAAATTTCTGTTTCACCATCAAAGAAATGAAATTCTTCATCAATTTAGTTTTTGATAATTTCAAATTTAGTTTTGATGTTGTTGTTTTTTCCTTTTAAACAACTTGATTTTGTTGTTGTTGTTCAACCGTTTTATATATATTTTTCTCTTTTTTCTTCATTACATTACCCGATTATTTTAGATGGATTTTTTTTCTCCTTTTTCCCATTTTCTTCATCTTTATTTTCTTTTTTATCTTTTCTTCTCTAAATATAGATAAATCCTAATGGAAACTAATTTTATGTTGGGAAAAAATTAAATATTATTTTTTTATAAAATAAAATTAATTTTTTTGTTGTTAAATTCATTCTATCGTGAATGAACCTTTTTTACATCGATGATGTTTTTTGTTCCAGAGAATGTAACCTAGACTATGATGATGATGATGATGATGATGATGTTTATTTGATCAATAATTAATTAATGTAGATCATTATACATAAAATCATATCATCATCAGCATATTTTATTCGTATTATTCAACCATCTAGGATTAGATATGACGATGATGACAACGATGAAAATTCAAAATAAAATAATATTCAAATGAATAGAAGGAAATCTGCTTATAAATAACAGAAAATTTCCTATTCACAATTAACATGATAATCCGATTTGTATTTATAATATGATATGAAAAACAAAATAATTAGCAAATGACAAATTCGAGGCAAGCGGATTTTTCTTCTGAGTTTGTTTCATTCAATAAAATAAGATTCAATTGAATTGAATTGAATTTTTTCTCCTATTCATTCTTGATTTCGAATTGTTCATAATCATCATCATCATTGGTATCTGTGATTAAAGAAAAAAATTGTCAATGAATGAATGGTCAAATCATGTTTGAAACAAACGGATGACTATTTTATTTAGTCTTTTTTCTTGCAATCAATTGCATTCCACATTCATTATAGATAGTAATAATCAACACACAAACAAATGACGAAAATAAAAGTCGAAGAAACAAAAAAACAACAAAAAAATTTCCTTTTTTTTCTTCAATTCATTCATTCAGATCACGCAAATAATAAGAAATGATAATAAGTAGAAGAAAAATAACAATAATATCATCACCAATATTTATTTATTTGGATTCAGAATCCATTTTATTCTTTTTATATATGAACTTTCATATATAAAAAAAAACATAAGAAATGTGTTGAAAAAACTGTCTAAAGAATAATGAAGAAAAAAAACTTGATCATCAAATTCCTGTAACTAGTATTTTTTTTTATAAATATGGAGAATGATTATTCCAATCGATATTATACAACTGAAAGGAAGAAATAAACAGGCAAAATATGATGATGATAATAATAATAATAATGAAAATAATGAAGAAAAATAAAATATCCATTGCCATTATTATCATATGAAATAATGATTTGCCATTCAAATAGTGTTTGTAAAAAAAAATTTCAAAATAAAAATATTAAATTTAGAACTATTCTTAGTTTTATTCTTTCGATTTTTGTTTGTTATTTTGTTGTTGTCGTTGCACAAACTAAATTATTATTATTGATTTGAATGAAAATGATTCTTTGGATAATGATCATTATGAGAAACAATGAGAATTCTATGTTACCAAGACAGAGGAAAATCTTCCTGATAAAATAGCAAAATAATGACGATTGGCAAAAAAACGTCAATCCAGAAAAAAAAGAAAAAGAAAATAAATTGCAAAGAAATTCTTATAATTGGAAACAATTTTCCATATTGGAATTTCCTAAATTCACAAACACACATTCACACAAGACACAAACATTATTGATGATGATGATCGGATATATCTCCAGGGGAAAATTTTCTCGATATTTATTGATTGTGTAAGGAAAGAAAATTCATTTTCCTTGTTTATGGCTTGATCTATTTTTTTTTCTCTCTCAACAAATATTATCAAATATTTCACCCAACAATTGAATAGATCTAACTCGATAAATTGATCAATCAATCAATCAATTAATCAATCAATCAATCAATCATTTATTCAGATATAATTATTATTAATGATAACTATGTATAATGGATACGCGTATAATGATTATTTCAATTGAAATATAATTTAAATTTTCAGGGGAAAAGAAAAATTAAAGTAAAAAATGATTCAATAATTGATTGATTTCATAAAACGATGATGATTCTTATACCTGAATGGTTGATTTTTAATTGCAAGCAGAAAAAAAAATTATTGAATAGATTATCACCATTTCACGACCAAAATTGACAATCAAACAAAAACAAAAACAAAAAATTTCTTCTTCTTGTTCCGCTACAATAATTTTCAAATATATCGATCGATTTTAATGAAACAGAGACGAAAAATGAAAAAAAATTCGCCATTTTTTTTGTTTTGTTTTCACGATTCATTATCATCATCATCTTCATTGGCTTTTATTATATAATGATAAAACAACAACAACAACAGTAAAATATTTGGTGTAAAACAAAACAACAAAAAAACTATTCCATCAATTAATCATCACTCTCTTTTTCACTTCTATTTCCTACTCGAATTCGAATTGTTTGTTTGGAAAAATATCCATTTTTCTTGCTTTTTGTAAAGATATTTTATTTCAAATAGGAAAATTTTTCTTGTTGATGCTCCTGTTCATTTTTTTCGTATTAAAGAATACTGTAGTTGCCATATTTGTTTGCATTGTATAATGTTGTTGATTATTTCACAGCAAAAATAAAACAAAATGATGTTCAATATAAGTTCTTTCTCTTTTTCTCTATGTTAATCAAATGATGATAATGAATTATGATCATCATTATCCATTATGATCAGTGTAAATAAAGAAGTGTACAAAAGATTGCAAAAACAAAACATTAAAGCAAACCTTTTCAATTTCAAATAAATAGATTTTTTCACATTGAAAAAAATGATGGAAATCAATCAAAAAATATGTTTTTGTTTTTTTTTTTGAAAAGAGAAAAAGAAAAAATTCTTCATAAATTCATAATTACGGTCATTATTATTATTATTATTATTCATAATGATAGTGATAGATACTAATCCTAATCTTCAATCATCATTATTGATCATGCAATGAAACAAAACAAAGCAAAAAAATTTAGGTGGAAAACACCTAAATTACAGAAAAGAAAAGAAAATGATCAGACATTCCGTGAATTAGAGATAACGGACATTGATTCAATGTAAACAACATTGTCAATAGTAATTTATATGAATAAGGCAGACCAAGACACATCTTATTATCTAGTTTAGAAGAAATGAAAACACTAAAATAGCTTCTTGGCGATCAACATGATTACGGATCAAAGGCCAAAGATATATAAATGGTGTTCATATTTTTTTTTTGTTCTCTTTTCTTCTTACTCAAAATTGCTCGAGGTTATATAAGGTTGGCCCGATGTAATACAGTTTTTCTATCATCATCATAATCATCTTCTTTTTATTTTCTGTTCTATTTCGATACCGTCATCTAAGATAAATGGAGGATTGAGGGGAAACAGAGATTAATATTAAAAAAACGACCAATATCTGATATTTGGAAAAAAATTTCGGCTGTTTTTTTTCGGTTACCATGTGTTTTGTGTGTTCAGGTG